TAGAAGGTGCCGCCCTTTCACATCCGGTTTGACACAATGTCTGCAGTCGAGCCTCAAACTCACTCCAGTCAGCCATTTTTAAATTCCAAAGTCGTGGCCTTACACCCAACGTTCCTCTTATCTGGAATCGAAGCCACACTGGGAAGTGATCATTGCCCATTGGATCATTTGCCACAGACCACTCCAGGCTCTCCACCAGCTCGGGACTAGAAAGACTCAAGTCAAGCGCGGAAGTCTGAACAGACGGAGGTGTAAAATGAGTACGAGTCCCTGTGCTTAAAATACACAGTGACGAGTCACGGATAAAATGTTGACAAATCCTTCCACGGGTGTTTGTGCTATCACAGCCCCACGCAGTGTGATGAGTGTTAAAGTCGCCTAAAAGAAGACATGGTGAAGACAACTCATGCACTAAACTTCTCATCTCTTCCAACGGAAAAGCGACGCCAGGTGGAAGACATAAGGAACACACCGTGATGTAACGGTGATTAAAATGTAGGCGTGCGGGTACAGCCTGTAGCGTAGACTGCAGGTTAAACCTCCCGACTGGCACCCTGTGGTGGACTGCAAGGATACCGCCATGTGCGATACCGTCGGTTAACACATCATTGCGAAACAGGGCGTATCCCTTCAGCGTGCACTGGTGACTAGAAGCCGGCTTGGTCCTATAGAATGGCGTGAAACGAAACACCTAAATTCGCATCCGTCCGATAACGTTAGCCGCCACAGGGCGTGCGATAATGAGCATGTTTTGGCAGTCAACTGGAAGTCACTTTTCGTACCTGCTGAAGGAGCTAGATATGCTTAGGCGAAACCCGAGCAGCTGAAAACACGCCGCGCAGCTCGAGCAACGATACAGTTAGGATTAAAAGTTTGGAGTTGTCATGCTGACAGTGTGTAAATCGCACATTATCACTGTGCATTCTTATTGCTCGTTCGAAACTGAACACAGCAACGTCGCCTGGCAACCAGTTTCAACCGAACGTTTTTAGGCAATAAGACAATGCACGCTTATAAATAGTCTTTTATTTACAGTAATGAACACTTCTTCCCGTTAGCAAATTGCTTTCTCTTATACTCGGTGCGGGTCAACGAAATCTCTCGACTTGGCCGCTTGTGTCTCAGGCAGCCTTTAGCTCAGTGCCGTACGTTGGGTGTTAGAACATGAGAGGCTGAACAGCTAGGATGCTAGGGATGTAGATGCAGTGTTTGTGATGCCGAGCGTTCGCGTAAGTAATATTATAACTGTTAACTCGGCACGGGTAATCTTTACCTTCCCGCTTATCCGTCTGTTTTCGGGGTCGCTTAGCATGGCACCGTTGACCGAGAGTAGAAATGCTGGAATGATTGATTATTTTTATACTTTAAGCATCAGTCTCTGTACAAATTTAGAGCATTTTGTGAACTTACATGAAATTTTTTTGCTTGCCATTTTTTACCTGTGACGATCGGCATACCTTGAAACGTCGAGTTTTGAAAACGCATCCAACGCTTGCTTCATAACGTGATTTCATTTTCACAAGGTTGTTTAACCAGCAACTCCTCGTATATTGAAGGTCAATCATCATCAGCATATAAACTCCAAACTGATAATGCCGAAAGCCAACTCAGGGTCTCTCTTGGCCATATCAACTCGACACTGAATAACATTAGTTTTCCTCGCAGCAGAACGCGGATTCATGCGGGAAGGACTTTTTCCACCTGTGAAGCGCGTGGCCAGCGTTAGGCGGGCAGTGGAAACCATTGCCCGCGACTCATTAACACAAATATTTTTCCGTCGTAAAGTCACGTAAAATCTTTGCCGGACGTGTTCTCAGTACGACGCGGTTTGTGTTCACTTCTTCGTAAATGCCGCGACAATCAATGCGCATGCAACGACAGGAATATTTTTGTTCACAGGTACTGCGGTGCTCCTGATTATGGAAACAGAAAATTAAATCGTTTGAAATGTATAAAACACCTTAGGAGCGCTGATGGTCAGTCCCGGACACGCAAATTGCCTTATTCATAATTGAATCTTTTGCGGCATTTCCGTCTCACTTGGATCAAATCGCGGGCAAACATTCTGCGCGCCCGGCAACGATTCTACGTGACGCCACGTGGAATTCTTGTCGTTGCGAAATCGGAAGGCGCAGGATGCACATGGTATGACGTCATGCATGACGTCCACGGCATAGATTCTTTGTCTTCCAGCTCGCCGTGAATACACCCCTCCTCTATGTCGTTGAGACACAAGTCAATGAGCCAACGCTGTAGCGACGACAGTCCAGGCGCCAACGACGTCGTCTCCTCGCGCAGCAAGGCAAGCGGGAACCACTCGCTTCCTCTAACTAGAAGTCCGTCGGGGGGATGTTTTTGAAGGACATCTTTGAGCTGGGCAAGTCGACGACCCTTTAGAGTGTACGATATGTGCCGTCTGACGCTTCTTTCAGGTGTTCGCTCCGGTAGTTTAGATGCACTTCTGTTAGGCACGCCACCCAAATTTTCTTCAGGATGGACGGGGTGGGAGGCAATGTCACATTGTCTCCGAAATCTTGCGTATTTAGCCCGTGGTCCCGCAAATCACCCAACATCTGGCACAAACCTGTTGGCTCAAAGGGGGGTAGTAGGTAAAGTCCCCTTGGTTAGGTCCCTGGGCCCTGAAAACCCAAGGGTCGCATCCGCCGAACACTTAAGCATATAACGTCGTGTTCAGTCCGTCGAGATGCGTCATAAACATCGTTTTCAGCGATTTTGACAGGACCATTTGTGTGACATATGCGCTGCGCGCGGGCTGTGTTGACAAACACCAAAATTTACTGAGTTCTTCACATTATCTTCATATTACATCTTGGTATATCTAATTCCACTTACTCATAACCAGTGCAACCATGCGAATGACACTCCGCGCACATTAACTATCGAACAATACACGCTGTTTTCCAGAGTAGGCCAATAAGGCGTTTTAGCATCATTTACGGATACCGCTGACGACAACCAACCGGTGCAAAACCTTACTTAAAAGTTGTTGTAAGCATTCAATATCCTGGCTTTGGGCATGTCTTGCCGGAAATTCCCCGGCCAAAAGTAGCTTCCGACGTGCGTGCACGAAACAAATGTCTGTGGAACATCATAAGGCGTATCACTCGGGCTGTCACTGTAGCGGTTTTAGGCTTCGGACGCCAAAAATGGCCGCCGCCACCGCCGTAATCACCCTTAGCAGGTCACTGACCGTAACATTGTTTGAAGTGCGCGACTGACCGAAATTCGCGACATCGGGCTGATCACAGAGCGCCGCCGTGATGTGGGCTTCGCCTTTGTAAAGATCAAAGGGGACGAACCGTGTATTGTGAGCTGGTCACCAACCTAGTGTCCACGACCGCCCGACCGGCCTGAGCATCTCGGAAAATAAGGTGAATGGCTTCGGCGTCAGCGGGGAGCCACCGCCAGTGAATGCTGTGGTCACCAGCTTCAATAAGGGAATGTCCTAGTCAAGCAAGGCACGGAGGCCCGGCTGGGTTTCCAAGCCGACTTGCCAAGCCGTCGACCAACCAACAGGGGACGAAAGAAACGGTGAATACGAAGCGGAAGCGTGCGGCACCGAAGTGCCCGCCCAGATGCTTCGCCGCAATGTCCAAAATGAAATGAAGCAGCCCAATGCGGTAGGCTTCACAGCGAGCTTACGCTGCAACATACCAGCGACAACGCACATAACCAAAGTCACTGGCGGACATGATCGAACATTTATTGTGGTGACAGGAAAATACGAATATCACGTAACAATTACATAATCAAATCGTGGTCAATCTGCAAACATGTGCAAACTTGTACAAGGAGCACAGTCATAGGCGGATAATGCCGCAATAAGCCAATTTAAACAGCCTCCTACAAAAAGATGTCCATGTACTCGCTCAGAAAACTACGCCCGACGCTTGGGCGACAGACGCGGCGCGCGGCGTGCGCGTCTTACTCGGAAGAGGCCGGCACGGCGCGGCGGGGGTGCCAGCGGCGGCCCCGGCAGCGGCCGCACGCGGCGCGCGCCGCTCCCAGTTTGGCACAGGTGGCGGGCGCGCGGGCCGGCCAGGCCGCCACGTTCGGGTGGCACTCGGACGCGATCGCCGGTGGAAAGGCTGACCGCGGGGTACAACGAACGGGCACATCCAGAGGCTTCCGCCCAGCAGGAGCCGGCGGTCTTTGTCGGGCATCGGTGGAAGAGATGGCGATGGAGCCAGTCGGGGCAAGGGGATGCCATTCGCCCAAGACACCACGCGCCAGCAGTGCTGCCAGCACTACACATTGGGCAGCGAACACCGATCGCGCGGGAAGGCGAGGAAAACCACGGCAATTGTGGGCTGCAAGCACACGCCTCGGTCCCAGCCGGCTGCAGCGACACCCTGCGGCAGACTCTCGAGCTAACGGCTTGTGGCTTGCCACCAGGCGGCACGGATCGGCGCCAACGCGGCCCGACCACAGCTGGACGGCCCAGCGCGTCTCGACTGGAATGATGAGCCGGAGAGGACGAGACCACGTCGGGAAGGCTGGCGCCGGGACGTCGTCACATCGACAAGGCTTTGAAAAGCAAGCGCTAAAAACATCGAACCGTCCGCGCAGCGCCGCGGCCGCCGCCGCGCTCGAGCAGCTCGAGCTGCCGGTCGGCGGGCGGGCGGGCGCCGTCCTCGCTCGTCCAACAGCCTTTGTACTGATTGCAAGCGGGCGGCGGGCTGGGACCGGCGCGGCCCATCGTCACGCGCCCGCCTCAGGTCAGAGCGCGTGCGCCGGAAGACGGCACCACTGCGGCGCGTGCGGACGCAGCACCAGGGCGCGGCGCGACGCCTCGAACAGCGGTGGGCGCCGACTGGCTACGACCTCCGCCGCCACATTTTCGCCGCCAGTCGACAAGCCGGCGGCCCGAAGACTCGCCGAGTCTGGCGCGGCGCACTCGCCGAGAGCGCCTCCGCGGTGGCGGCGCGGCGGGCGCGCGCCAGCCGTCAGGGTACGGCACGCGCCTGCGCCGCCGCCGCCTGGGCGTCCGAACCGCGCGGCGGCCGGGCGCGGGCCGCACGTCCCCTGCCGGTCGCCCGGGCCTCACGTACTGCTCCCCACCTGGAGACGGAGACGGCGTCAGCGGGCGGGCGACAGCAGGGTCATCGCACAGACACGCACACACAAACACACACACGGTGGCGGGCGCCGCCCTGCCGGGGGCCGTCGTCGATGCGGACGCGGCCCGAATGCTGGCCGGTCGGCGCCGCATGCTTCAGCAGCCACAATAGTCAGCACGGTCGCCCGGTAACTAAACGGCACAGGAGTCGACACAAACACACCAGGTCAGCTGACCTGGACGTGCGGTCTACGGCTGCAACGTGTGGAAAAGGCACGACGAAGACAGCTTTACCACCGCTCCGTGCTCGATTTGATTCCAGCGGCAGAGTGACGATGTGCCGACATTAGTAGCATATAAATGACAGGTGTTCGTTTATGAGGTGAGAAATCATATTCTTGATGCACAATGAAAAAAAAAACAACATGCAATCGCAATACGCTTTTGACAATAAAACTCGGGGGGAAGCAGCATCCCCTGCCTTCAGCGTCAAACAAAAACATGTTTTCCTTCCCAATTACACGCATCAATGAAGGCTGCATCCATTTAAGCCACAGCTATCTTCAGTTCCGCACGGCTTCCGTTTAAGAGCGAGTCACTTTCAGCGATCCGGCGAGGCTTCAGAGCTTATAAGGATTCTTAAGTGCTCTCGCTCAAACACGAGCACACAAACAGCCAAACACTGGCGCTATCCCTGGAGACTCAAATTAAAAAAGCACGAAAACACAGCCCTCTGAAGTCCCGCACCCCCCCCCCCCCCCTCCCCCCTCTCTTACTGCCACGAACTACACACGGCTGTCTGGCCGTCAGTAGTGCCCCGTCCGCGGCGACCCGACCCGCTAGTCGCAGTCGCGCGTCGCGCCGCCGCCTGGCTGCGGAGCCGTCGGCCGGGCGGCGGCGGTAGGCGTGCGCACCAGCCACGCGCTCTGATTGGTGATTAGGTTTCTTCGGGAGCGTCGACTCCTGGCGCCATTTTGCGCCAACAACGGTCTCACCTAATAAGTGGGGTGCACGTATAACCTGAAAGACAACGTCTTCTAGAAACGGAACTAGCTGTCATGATTCTACAAAGTCATCGAAAAAATCGCAGGACCCCAGCGATGATGTGTGGTACCCAAAGCGTCGACACGAGCCGAGCACGTGGTACACATGGTACACACACATCCTGTAAGATGCGCACCACATCGCTGAGAGGAGGGCCCACCGACCGGCCGAGCTCAGCAGATCGCCGTGGGTCACAACGTATGGCCAACGCCCAGTCTGCAGAGGACCCCCTCCTCTCTCCGCACCTTGCGGAAGCAAGATGGCCTAGCTGCAATTGTACTGCAGTGAGCTTGTTGTTAGCCGTCGTAACTCAGGAGTACCGCCATATGCCATGCAGGGGACTTTATTGCCGGGTAAATGTCTGCCGAGTTTGTCCGAGAGCGTATGCACGGCGCTTGCACCGTCCGCTTCGCAGCGACGTCACATCCCGTTTTCCGCCACTCCAACGTGGCCAGGAATCCAACACAACGTAACTTTCTTGCCAGCCCGATCCCACTCTGTCACACGGCCTAAACTGTCCTGTGCGAGGGAACGTGGCGAGTTAAATTTCCCAAGAGGTAAAAAGGTGCTCAGGGAGTCAACCGGAATGAGGTGCAGGGCGTCTCCACCAACTTCGACGAAACGAGGCACCCCGGTGATGGTTTCCAGCTCTGATGTAGACAGACGAGTGTTCGGGGAGCGACAAGGATCGTATGACGGTACCGCTGATGACCATCCGGCGCCGGCGTCGCCACGCGCCCACCCCCGCGCGTCGTCACGCAGCGCCGGGACAAGACTCGGTCCTCGCCGAGCGGCGGGCGAGAAGCGGGGACGGGGCCGGCCGACCGGCTGCCGACGGCGGAGGCGGCACCTCGTGCACGCGGCGACATTTATAACACTACTAACATTTTCCACGACATTTGTAGAGGCTGACCAGCTCCCCCCCCCCCCCCCTTTCAAGAGAGGTGCGTCACCGCGTGGACTGAGCAAGCCAGGCCGTCCGGCCACCCAGGACTGGGAGGTAAACGTAACACGAACCTGACACAGTCTGCCCCTGGGCCAAGAGGTGACGGCTTCGTTGTGACGTGACTCAACGGGCCCTCCCGGGTGAGCCGGCGCGCGCCCCCGTAAGCGCGCGGCCGCGCGTGACCAGGGATGGTCCACGCCCAAGCGGCAGACGTTCCGGCGCCGGAAGCGGGCGGACGGGGGCAGGCGGCGCAGTCACTCACCGGGCCGACTCTACATGACGGCGGGCGCCGAGTGCGTGCCCCCGCCAGCCTTGAACTGTTCCGTCTCGTGGAAGATGAGCTCCTTCAGCTTCTCCTTGGGCAGGTCGTCCAGCTCTGTCTCGAACGTGAAGGGCTCCTCGGCCACGGGCTGCGGACAGGCAGGGCAGGCGGACGTCAGCACACACGCCGCCGACCAGGGGCTGTCATCACAGCCCAGCCGCCGCCCGCTCGCCGCACCACTCGCGCTCCGCCGTCGCACGTTCGTCATCCAGCCGCCAACAAGACACACGCGCGCGCCGTGGCGAGTCGGTGCCCGGCTCCGCGAATCAGCTGCTATTTCAGGAAACACCACAGCACAGAGGCCGGCGCGCAATAAGGCCAGGATAAACAGACACGCAACACCCCGAGCGGGATGCCAAACACTAATCGCGGCGAAGAGGCGTACGTCTGAGCCATTCCCGGGCGCCGTGGACCTCCTCCGGCGGGGCAGCACGAGCAGCCCGTCATCGCGCGGAAAACAGCACAAGCCACGGCATTGCACGGCGCGTCACTTGAAGCCATACCCGCAGCGCCAACGACATCGTAAAACAGGACGGTAATAGAATGGCGGCCAACTGCCCGGAGACGTCCCCGTATTCGCGGCGCGCCGGAAAATTACTCAGCGGCGGCGACACGTCGGGCGCGACCACCGCCTGCCCATGAGGCCGTACCGACGGCGACGGTGCCGCCGCCTGACACGCCCGTCGTCAGAGCGATGAGCAGCACGAGCGGCGCCGCCGGCAGTGCGACAGGGCCGGACGGCGCCCGGCCACGGCGGCGGCGGGCCAGGGCGGGGCGCCGGCCGCGGCGCCGGGGTCGGACCGACGGCGCCGCGCGCTGCCAGGCTCGGAGCCGCCGAGACGCCGGCCGCCGCCGACCGACCAGCCTCAGAGAGGGCAGCGCTACCTCCTGCGGGGTGTGCTGTGCCTGTCCGACCGCTCACGGCCACGTGGTGGCTTCGGAACCGCCGCGCGCCGCGACACTGACACCGGGACCAGCGGTGTTCAGTCGGCTTTGCTAAAGCGTGCCAGCGTCCTGCGCGGACGACACAGCCTTCCAGAATGAAGGCATTCGTTTGCGGATGGAAAGGTGTCAATAGGCCTGCACGTGGAGGAGCCAGGGGCGAGCTTAGTAAATAATTCGAGCTTTCATGTGGTGACGCCGAAATCCCCTATCACATCTACGCGCTAGACGCGTCACCTGTTATTTGAGTGAGAGATGGGGCTGTGTAGTTTTCCAATGCAACAAAGCGCCGGTCCGTTGAAGGGGGCTTCACCTGCGGGGGTTGAAGTCAAAATGGCCCAACCACGTGCCCGTTCTTACATCAAAAGCTGGAAAGCTCCACCGTGGGAAAATCGACAAGCGTTTGAGGAAGGCCGTCGGCGAACGGGTCAGGCCTCGCAGGGCGCACTCGACCCCGCCGGCCGTGGCGCGGCTGCCGGACCCGGCCAAAGACACGCCACCAATTACAGCCGGCCGGGCCGGCCGGGCGGCCCCGGCGACGCCTACATCGACCCGTTGCCGGCGGCGGCTCGGCTCGGGCCTGCTGGCGGGGCGGGGGTGTGCGCCGAGTGTGCGTGGTGCCAGCGGCGGCGGGGGTCAGTGGCCCGCGTAACAGGTGCTTCCTTGTCCGTCCTCCCCTAGGGGCGGAGACTCGGACGTAAGGAGGATGGACTGCGTCTTCCAACCGCAGCAGACCACGACACAGGACCATAACACCTTCCCTAAAATAGCACGACTTGACAAGATCATATTCTTGCAAACAGCCTGACATCGCAGCCTTGCAAGTCTGACCCCGCTGAGGCAAGTCTGACCCCACAAATACACACCCTCGAACAAGTCAGACACACGTCACACCCTCTCGAAACCGCACGTGCCAGGTGTAGTGGAAATGGCGTCAGTCCACTACCACCCCATTAAATAACCCGGAGATGACGCAGCCACAAATGTCCCGGCGTCATTTACTGTCGGAAGCTATCGCAGAAAAGGCTGTTGGACGGCATGTGCAAGGGCTATCTGGACTGTACGCCATGGCGTGCCATCGCGGGCCTTCTATGTGCGGAGGTGAAGCGCCTATGCCTGCGAGTTCGCGCGCTCAACCAGCGCTGGCCGGTGACGCTCACCAGCGCTGGCCGGGGCGGGTCACACTCGACAGCGAGAGTAACACCGGGCGTCCAGTCCGCCCCATCGCCAGCGCGCTCACCAGCGCTGGGCGGGGCGGGCCACACTCGACAGCGAGTGACACCGGGCCGTCCAGTCCGCCCCATCGCCAGCACGCTCACCACCGCTGGCCGGGGCGGCCACACACGACAGCGAGTGACACCGGGCCGTCCAGCCCGCCCCATTGCCAGCGCGCTCACCAGCGCTGGGCGGGGCGGGCCACACTCGACAGCGAGTGACACCGGGCCGTCCAGTCCGCCCCATCGCCGGCACGCTCACCACCGCTGGCCGGGGCGGGCCACACTCGACAGCGACAGTAACACCGGGCCGTCCAGTCCGCCCCATCGCCAGCGCGCTCACCAGCGCTGGGCGGGGCGGGCCACACTCGACAGCGAGTGACACCGGGCCGTCCAGTCCGCCCCATCGCCAGCACGCTCACCACCGCTGGCCGGGGCGGCCACACTCGACAGCGAAAGTGACACCGGGCCGTCCAGTCCGCCCCGCCGCCGGCACGCTCACCAGCGCTGGCCGGGGCGGCCACACTCGACAGCGAGTGACACCGGGCCGTCCAGTCCGCCCCATCGCCAGCACGCCCACCAGCGCTGGCCGGGGCGGGCCACACTCGACAGAGAGAGTGACACCGGGCCGTCCAGTCCGCCCCGCCGCCGGCGAGCAGAGCACGCGAAACGCCCGGTGGTGCGGCTGATCACCGACTGCCGATGGCGGGCGGCGCACGCGACAGACGAGTCAACGACCCCGGTGGGAGGCAGGCGCGATATTGCAGACTACTCCCGGCGGGACACGGGGCTCCACGCATTAGTGCTACAACTCTCATCGACAAGAGTGTTACGTCATTACATCCATTGCTAACACCTGTAAACCGCATTAGTGCTACAACTCTCATCGACAACAGTGCTACGTCATGCTCGTCAAACTTATGCTCGTCAATATTTTTACTGCCAACACTTCTGCAGCCATTACTTATACACAACATTACTTTCACCGCAAAAAAAACTACACGCGACAGTGATACACCGCAAAATTTGAGTTAAAAAATATATACTCGTCATTACTTCCACTGCAAAAATACACCAGTCATTACTTATACATGACTTTACTTTTCTGCAAGGACTAAAACGCAATATTAGTGCTACACGACAAAACTTATGTTTCAAAAACTTATACGTCATTACGTCTACTGCAAAAACTTATAGTTGTTGATTATACACGGCACTACTTTTACCGCAGACCTACGCGCGACATTAGAGTCACACGACAAAACTTATTATTCAAAAATATGTAGCTGTAATGACCTTCACTGCAAAAACTCGTATAGTCTTGACATGTAAGCAACAGCATTTCTACTGCTTGCTGCGAAGCGCCGGATGCGTGGACACCTAACAGGGGTGTAAAAAAATGGCAGGTTTGGGGGAACCCCAACTGGGCTATACTACAATTAAATGTTCGTGCTGCTGATACGAAAAGTTACCTATTGATCATGTACCGTAGTTTTGTCGGTTCGCGGTGTTTAGCAAAGGCCGTAGTTTGGGCTGCAAGAGCTCAATTACGCGTACAACTTTTAAAGTAGAAGGAATGTCACGATTCAGTGAACGCCGAGCTGGGAGGGTAGTTTCGTGTCCCGTCAGTGGCCCCATCTACCCTCATCTGTGATAGGAAAATACGTTTCGCACAGGAATGTCACGCAGAACTACCGCCATCGTGTGTCCATCCACGGCTGGAGTTAGTGGATTGTGACCTGTATCTTATTGCACAAATATGACATTTTAGTATTGGCCGAAGAAGTAAAATAGCTGAAAAGTTACGACTATATGAGTTTTTACAGTAGACGTAAGTCAAGTATAAGTTCTGTCGTGTGGTACTCATGACGTGCATATATTTTCGCAGTAGAGGTAATGCAGCGCATAAGTTAGGCCCGTACAGGTCTCTGCTGTTTTTCAATGACGGGTACGCGTTTTGTCGTGTAATTCTCGTGTCGTGCATGATTACTTTTTGCAGTAGAAGTCATGCTGCATAAAAGTAAATATTGCACAAGTTTTGCAGTAGATGCAATGACTCGTTCATTGTTTTGAGAAATTTTGTCGTATAGCACTCGTGTCCTGTACAAGCCTCCGCAGTGGAGGCAATGTGGCGTATAAACAGTCTGTATAAGTTTTTGCGGCAGAAGTAATGTTACGTACAGCTGATGTCATAGCGCTCCTGCTGGTAGCCGTTTTTACCGTAGCACTGATGCCGTGACACCAGGACGCGGGTCCACCGCTAACGCCCGCGGACCCTTGCGTACAGAAATGTGATCACGCGCGCACCGCGGCGTGCGCGGCCGCGCGTGAACCCCACCACTGCAACCGGACACTGGTCGAGGAATCGTCATCACGCGAGGCGCGCACCGTGACAACAAGCACGGTCTGCTCGCCGTCCAAAATACGGACAACTCTGAAACGCGCACCGGCCCTCTCTCGCCCCAAGCGTGCCCCTGCGCGCCTGCCCACCTCGTCAGCCGGGTCGTAGTACTTGCTCTAGGTAGGGGTGGCCCAGCGCGTCCTCCACCGTGATGCGCCGGTGCGGGTTGAAGGTCAGCATGCGGTCCAGCAGGTCCAGGGCACGCGCGTCTGCGTCCGGTACAGCGTCGTCCACGGGATGCGCGGCTTGTACGGCAGCGACTGCAGGTAGTTTCGCGCCTGCAACGATCATAATGTCAGTCGGCGGCGGCTGCCGACGGCTGGCGGGCTGGGCCGGGCCGGGCCGAGCAGGTGCAGCTCGGCCGGTGCGTGGCGGCAGCGGCGACGGCGCGGCTCCGCTGGTGGCACAGCGGGACGTGCGCCGAACACTGCACACAGCGGCGGGACACGCACCAAACAGGGCACACAGCGACGGGACGCGCGCACCGCACACTGCACACAGCGGCCGGACGCACACCGGACACCGTACACAGCGGCGGGACGCGCCCCGCGCACCGCGGCGGGAAGCGCACCGCACACCGCACACAGCGACGGGACGCGCGCCACACACCGCACACAGCGGCGGGACACGACCCAAACACTTCGCACGGCGGCGGGACGCGCACCGTACACCGCACACAGCGTCGGGGACCACACCGCACACAGCGGCGGGACGCGCGCTGCACACCGCACACAGCGGCGGGACGCGCATCGCACGCCGCGAAGTGGCGGGACACGCACCGCACACAGCGGCGGCGCCATCGCAGCGCAAGGTCAGGCTCTCCGGCGGCCAGCCTCACCGTCACCGCCGCAGCCTGCTTCCAACCATCGTCGAAGTCAGTGACGTCAGAGGCCGACGAGTCTGGTCGAAAAACGTCAGAGCCCGGCGAGACCGGTCGGATGACGTCAGAGGTCGGCGAGGCCGGCAGAGTGACGTCGGAACTCGACTTTTATTGATGATTCGTGAGGGGTGTTCAGTACCAATTACCGAGCCCGACTAGCGTTAATTATGGGCATCGTGCTCCAAGGCAACGCATGACCTGGATCGACGGGACAACAGTGAGGGAGGAGGGGGCGGGAGAGACAAAAATCGATACCGATGCAGATGCAGGTACAGATACAGGTACAGACGGAGACGCGAGGGAGAGCGAGAGCGAGAGCGAGAGCGAGAGCGAGAGCGAGAGCGAGAGCGAGAGCGAGAGCGAGAGCGAGAGCGCGAGCGCGAGCGCGAGCGAGCGAGCGAGCGAGCGAGCGAGAGAGAGAGAGAGAGAGAGAGAGAGAGAGAGAGAGAGAGAGAGAGAGAGAGAGAGAGAGAGAGAGAGAGAGAGAGAGAGAGAGAGAGAGAGAGAGAGAGAGAGGAGAGAGAGAAACAAAACAAAAAATCAAGAGAAGGGAAAGAAACAGGAAGAGGGAGGCAGAGAAAGACAGGTAGACAGGTAGAGGGAGGGAAGCAGTAAGCGGGAGGCAGACGTAAGTAGTAAGGCGGGTAGGAGAGGCAGGGAAAAAGGGAGGGAGGCGGGAAGAGGAACGCAGCGGACGGGAGCGGGGAGGAAGAGGGAGGAAAGAGGAGGCAGAGAGAGGGAGGGAGGCGGAGAGGGAGGGAGGCAGAGAGGGAGAGGGAGGGAGGGAGGCCAGGAACCGGCGGCAGGGACGGGGAGGCAGGTGCACCGACGACACCTCGGGGGGCCGTCGATCAGGCACTGGCTCCCATTTGTAACAGCTCGCCGGGCGCGGCGCGGCCGCCGCCAGCCATCAATCTGTTCTGATCGCGGCGGCCGGCATCGGTGCCGATCGCCGTCCCCGAGCACCGCTCCCGACAAGAGGTGGGGCCGCCCTGGCCCGGCTCGTCACACCCCAGCAGTGACGCGACACGGACAGAGCGGGCACAAAACATGACCAAATACAGACATTGCGGAGGGTAACCAGCGCTCGTGCCCAACAACGTACATGGCGCTGAGGAAGAACCAACACCACGCCAAAAACCGCCCGGAGCACGGTTCGGCAGAAAGGACAGCTGGTGTGCCGGCTTACCTTCTCGTTGATGATGCACTGAAGGTCGTCCTGCGTGGGACTGCCCAGCACAGACAGGATGTGGTTCAGTTGGTCCAGGTAGTGGCGGCCCGGGAAGATAGGCCGGTTGTTCAGCATCTCACACAGGATGCATCCCACCGACCAGATGTCGATCGACTTGGTGTAGCCCTGCCGACGGCATGACGCGGTCAGGGTAGCGCTTGGGTCACAGCTCCACGGCTGGCCACCGGCTGGCCAGGGACGTCCCGTCACGTGACGCGTGACGCACGGCCAGGCCCGGAGAGGGCCGCCGAATGTGGCGGAACGGGCCAGCTCGCGACGGGCGCCCCGCTCACGGCCGCCGACCGACACGCCCCAGAGAGACGCTGGCCGCCAGCTCGTCTGCAGGGGCAAGCACGAGGACGGCGTGCTCGGACCGCGGCGTCGCCCACCGCCGGCAGACGGCCGTCAACGACCGTTCCCAGGGGAGGGAGACGAGCGCCACCGGCTAGCAGTGGCGCCGTCGGCGGACCGACCGGCCCCCAGAGCCACCGAGCCCCACCCCCCCCCCCCCTGACCCGGGCTCAGCCTGACCTTGGCGTTAGCAAGCGGCGCGGAGGTCCGGATCCGGCTCAGTCAGGGGTGGGGGAGGAGGAGGGGGAGGAGACGGAGGGAGGGGGAGGGGGTCTGCCAGCGGCCGGCCCAGACCGGACACAATCAATGCCCAGCGCCGCGCGTGCGGAAGACGAGCGCAAATAATGTAGGATGCGGCCAGGATGCATGGGAGCCGCGGCCGCCCGCCGCGGGAGGTCAATAAGATCGCTGACGACAGGCGGCCCTCACACAGCGCGCCCGAGCGACGGGACAAGATAGCCACTGGCACCAGATGAAAGAGTGGGAAAGGGATTCCCACACCCACTGCGCACCACAGTATTCCGGAGAAGGTCCCAGTTTTCCATTTACATCTTACAGCAAAGGTCATGCTGTCGTACCCGTTGGCACGTTCTTGAAAAAAAACCTTGACGATACATGAACTTGCAATATTCTGGGTGTGCAAACCGACACGACGGTTAAACACATGGAAGCCGATTTCCGGTGCCCGAGTTCTGTGACTTTAGCTCGGTGTTAGCGTGCGCTTTTATGGTGAACGTGCTCCTTGCCTTGAGCAAATTAACTTTTTTTGTTCTCACTCTGAACGCCCGGGGAGCCGCAGCTATACCTGAGACTGACCAGCGCGTCTCATCGCCCTTTGAAAAGTTGTCGTGAGACATCAGAGGCCTGTTACCGGCCTCTGTCAGGCTCCCGCAAGAACACCGTAGAAAGGAGAAGCTCACGATTGACTGGACAGTGGAGCCGGCAGTGGAGCCAGTCAACGGACACCAACACAGCGCGGCGCACGCGCATCGGAACGGACTGCTCCGCATCTAAACCAGGCCATCTTGAGGACGAGCCTCGCCGCCCCGACATCGGTGTCGGCAGGTCAAATAGCGGGCACGCACAATATAAGGTCACGTTACAGCATGGGCGCAGGAATGTTTCAAAAAGTGTGAGGGGAGGGGCAGGTTCAGGGTATATTTAAGGAACTTTCGCTGGGAAGCGAGACCTGCAACCGGGAGAGGGGGAGGGGTAGAGATCAGGACATTGTCTGGTCTTGAAGTGACAAATACACATTTGTATCGGGATTTGCAATGAAGTAGCCATTTTGAAGATCCTTCGGTGCATTTCACAGCTGCGCCCTCATTAAGACATAAAACCCTTTAGTATCTGAGCTACACGCCCGCGAATATGTGCAGACTTTTTCGGGGAGACTATATCCAAGGTCACTCAAGTATCCATGACGCCATAACGTCATTCAAATCCTGCCAATTGGCCCTCAATCCATGTTGTGCACGGTACTATGACGTAATCAAACGATGACGTATTGAGGGGCGTATTTACCAAACAGAGAAAATGTGCTGTCTAGAACGGTCTTTTCAAAATAACAGCACACCGATCGTCATAAGTGAGCATATTTCAGCATATCTGATGCTTGCTTAATGATCTTCAAACGTGGAACATTCCGTTTAATTTACATAACATGTATGGGAAATAAATGTGATCGTTGCTGTGCCAGATATACATCTACGGCTCTTCCCCACTGGTGCACAATCTTGCCTATTCAGTCTTCTGTGCCATTCTGGTGATAAGACTATTTGCTTCCCAGTCTTCTGTGCCATTCTGGTGACAAGACTATTTGCTATGCCATTCATCCATTTCAACATTCACCCATTTTCCCTGGAGAGGTGAATTCCACGAGCGGGTAGGCATGTTGGGACCGCAAACGAATGAACGTTCCCAGGCGAACATTGGCCTCTAAGGGGCTCTCGAACTGGAGGCCCTTAGAGGGATACATCATATCAATTTGAACTCTATGAACATATGCGGGGTGACTGTGAGCGGCCATGCAGAGGAATCAAGGTTATATCAAAAGTGAACTAAACGCGAATAAATCTAAAATGTCTGGCAGTTAGCATTATTTAGCATTAGCAATGTCTGGCCCCCACCTTGCAAGAAGTGGGGGGGGGGGAGCAAGCCCCCCCCCCCCCCCCTGTTCCTACAACCATGCGCTACAGCGTCAGATAATAAGCCTGACAGCGAACTTTTTCTTGACCATGTCGACCAAACCGGAAGGCCAATCTCGCCTCTGGTCAAGCCTTGTGTTTGGATGACATAGCCCTTGGTGTCTATCTCCTTGACAAATCACCAACAGCGGCCAAGTTTACCTGGTCAATCTCATCTCAGCCGGACCATTCCGTGGGGTTCTGCTCATTCACGAAATCCAGCAGAACTCGAATCATCACTGTTCACAGTTCTGTCCACACACATTCTTGAACGTACGTTCCAACGGGTGCATATTTCGGTACACACCGCATGATGCATGCCGTGGCTGAAGTAGCCTCCACGTGGACTCGGCTTAAAGCAAGCAATCTGACCACCTCTTGGGCCGCTTTTGGTTGTAGTGCACATCAGAGATGTTCGTGAGAGATGATCGAGATCACATTGGGATAAACGTCCACGTCCTGCT